ACTGTCTCATTATTAGTGATAGAAGGTGGTGTTGACTCAGCTTCCTTTTGTTCCTCTGCACCTGAAATTAAAGTTGGTTTTTCTGTTTTGGGAGGACCCTATAAAAGTTGGTTGGCCAGATATGGTGCGCACACCCAGAATTTGGGAGGCTGAGGAAGGAGAATCATGCAAATTTGAGGCCAACCTGGGCTACAAAGTGAATTCAAGGCCAGTCTGAACTGTGTAATGAACTCCTATCTCAAAAGAAAAGACCCTCCAAAAAATAAATACAAGTAAAAATATTGGATGAAAAAAAAAAAAAACCAAAGTGAGTTCAAGCCATCCTGAACTGCATAGCAATACTCTGTCTCAAAAAGACAAAAGAGAGCTATAGAGAGATACTTAATCTCTGCATTTTTTCACCTATGGACTCAGATAATGAGAAAATGAAAGTATCTGGAGCCAGGCATGGTGGCCTGTGATCCCGGCACTGGGAAACGGAAGGGTCAAGATGACAAGTTCAATCCCAGCCTGGACAATTTAGCAGTACGTCTCAGAGTTAAAATGGGCTAGTAGCCAGGCATAATGGCACATTCCTGTCATCTTAGATTTGTGAGGCAAGGAAGGAGGATCACAGTTCAAGGCCAGAACAAAAGGAAGGGGAACTGGGGATGCAGGTCATCTTGAAGGTTCTAAGTTCAGCCCCCAGTACCAAACAATAAAAGAGTATATGTGGTCAATTTACTTTCCAACGTAGAATTTCTGTTGTCCTCTATTACACTTCAAAACCGAAGTCCTAGACCAGAAATTATGAGCTTTTTAAATGTTATTTTGGGTTATGTGATTCTGGCATTAATACCAGGACTAGAAATGAGCTCTGAGGTGACCAAAACCAAAGTTGGTAGACAAAAGAGCTCTTGAATCCAATACCCATTCTAATCATGAATATATTTTTTTTCTGTTTCTTTAAAGTAGGTCAATTTATAAGGATAGTCGGTTTAATTTATAAGGATAGTGGGTTTTTGTACTGTCTCTACAGTTTGGAATGTGTCTATACAATACAAAGTATAACTTTTAGGTATTTCAAGTTGATGTGGAAACATTTACAGATACATTGTTTTTAAATTTTTATTGACCAGGATGTGCTATAGAAGCAATTAAATGTGCTATTACATATTTTAACTTCCTGAGAACATGAGTAAAGAAATTGAGGAGTGTGTATGATTGAAAAAATCCATAGCTTTTCAGCAGGAGGCGTTGCAGTGAAGTAAACTGGATTCCTTTTGGTTCTTGTGTGGCTAGAGCAACTTGCTGAGCTTCGCCAGGAGTTTCTTCGACAAGAAGACCAGCTTCAGGACTACAGAAAGAACAGCACTTACCTTGTGAAGAGGTTAGAGTATGAAAGGTAAGGCTACATGGCACAGGTATTCATGAACCTGACATATTTGTCCCCAACTTTTAGGCTTAATTTCTCCTCTCCCCCCCCCCCTCCAGCTTTTCTTTTTTTCATTTTAGTATTTAAAATTAGTTTTATTGTGGCTTTCAATGCGTCTTTGAAATCCATACTCTTTATTTTGATATGTTAAACATAAACAGGTGTCTCTTTTTTGTCCATGTTGTGGGGTTCATGGTGAGACAGAAATGTCACGGTTTTATCAGAACAAAAAAAGAATGTTCTGGCTCTTTGCCACCACCATGAAAGGTTGCTTTTTGCTCTGTGCTGCTCTGCATTGGACCCAGCTGAGTATGGACTGAAACCTCCAGTAACTGTGAGCTAAATAAACCTTTCCTTCCTTCATTTTGAGTGTTGGGTATTT